ATCGGTGGGGATGCGCGAAGCGTCAAAAATTTGCCTCAGGGTCCCTTTCTTTCATGACGATGAACATTCGCCCCCCCGTCCAAAACTTTCCAAAGGTGCGATCTGACTAGAGTTTCAAATGGATCCAGCCGCGGCGACGAGGGACGGGTGATTTGCAGTATTGGTGCCTTCCCTCTCCTGGAGACAGCTAAGTGCCCCTCCTCTTCCTCCTCATCCTCCTCCTCTTCCTCCTCTTCCTCTTGCAGGCCCCCCAACTGGGCCAGCGTAGATGGGGTCGGAGGATCGCACTGCATCGCCGATGCACTCGAGATGCGGCGCGATCCTCCGATTCCCATCTGGTCGGGCCCGATTTGGGAGGCCTGGACGAGCCTCCGCTCGAGCTGGCAAGCCAAACATACGCAAACTTTTGGAGCTCCGCGCAGATTTCTGGAACTGGCGCTGGACCCTCCCACCCCCCTCCTGGCGCGTCGCGCCGGGCGCACCGCCAGGAGGCCCTACGCCGACCCGAGAAGCCCGCGTGAAGCTCCGAGAGCTCATACAGCGAAAACTTTCGGAGCTGCGCTCGCGTTCGAGCACAAGTCCGATCTCCCTCTGGGAGGAAAGAGAGGAGACCTGGGACTCACATGTACACGCCCAGTGTGTGCGGGCCATCGCCCGCAACACAGCTTGCGCAACCTGCTCAACGCCTCACGCTCGCGAGCCTGCCCCGAAGAGTGTCCACTGTACCGTGCGCGGCAGCGGGTGCGAACGCAGCATCACTTGGACGACCGAAATTCGCGTGGAGCATATGGGAATGGGAACGATGCCCAACATCAAATAATGTCCAAAACCGACAGCGGCCGCTGTTGGGCAGACGAGCGTGCGCCTCGAATGGACAACGCCGCGGTGACGCTGACAGCGAATCCTGTTCAGCATGAGCAAGAACTGCTGTTGGACGTTGCACCCATTGGAGGCAACTCCCGGGAGGTTTTCGTCAAAACGATAAGGAGCTACTAAGCCCACCGAGCCGGATCTGGTCTGGGATCGAGCCGGATCAAGTGGGAGCAAGCCGAATTAGGCAGGACAAAGCCGGATGAGCAGGGATTCAGAGAGAATGGGCCACTTTGCGACCAGGGGTAGGCCGGAGCCGAGTCTGACTTTGACCTCCCAAGAGTTGCACCCTTACCCACCCCAGAGAAAGGAGGGGGCCTCGGCCACCGCCATCCGCCGCCGCGGCCCGCTGGTGGGACCCACCCCCCCGCCGCGGCCCGCGCGGCCGCGGGGGGGGGGCCACGGAAAAGCAGGGCTGCCGGCGCGGCTTCGCGGCGGAGCGGTGCTCACGAGCGGCGGACATGTCCATCTGCGCTCGGGGATCTACCGACCCGGATCAGTCCGAACCAGGGTCAGTCAGGCTCGGCAGGATCCTGCAAGATCCTGCAGGTTCCTGCAGGCTCCTGCACCCAAGCCCAGACCAGTGCAACCCTGGCCCTGCAGCATCCTGCAAGATCCGTCACTCTGGCGGACCCTCGACTGCATTTAGGGAAACAAACAATGACATACACATAACAACTCGGAGGTTCGCGCTGATTTCTCGCATCGGCGCTCGACCCCCCTCCTTGGCGCGCGGAGCGCGCCAGGGGCGGCGCCGGAGGCGCCGCCAAGGGGCTCCAGCGCCGATCCAAGATATCCGCGCGGACCTCCGAGTTTTTATGTTTATGGCACTGTTTGCTTCCCTCGCATGGACCCCCGTTCGGCGGTGGGCAAACCTCCCTTTAGTAAACCTCCCTTTAGTGAAAACGGCCTGGGACCGAAACCGACGGACCTGGACCCACAAAAATGACGGCCGCGACGCCCTCTCGCGAACCGAAAACGGCAAATTCCTCAATCGACGTGTCAGGGTAGGAGGTCTATCCACCCCCGACTCGCCTGGACCCCCGTCTGTCCACCCCCGACATCCACGCGGACCTCCGATGTGTTATGTTTATGGCACTTGCCGTCGATCGGACGTCCATTTCCCGCGCATTTTTCGGTTTCGTGCGTGTTTTTGTTTGCTCGATGGTCCCGGGTGGTCCCCAATGGCTCTCGCCGAGAAAAAAATGCACACGTCCGAGCGATGCCAAGGGCACTGTTTGCTTTCCTCGCATTGGCCCCCGTCGCTTGAGCCCCGATGCAAGCCTCGCGGTCTGGCCTCCAGGGCGCGAGAAATGCGCGGTGGCGGCCCCCCGAGCTGGCCTGCCTGAGCGCCGACGCAGGCACGGCGGTAAGGGACCGGGCTCTATACACCGACGTGTTCTGCGGCCCCGCACTGCCATTCGCAGAAGGGAGCGGTTCCCGGTGTATACGGGATCCTGGTGTATACTGTTCTCATGGCTCCCACGGGAAAACGGGGAAAAGTATACACCACACCACCCCGACGTCGTCCCCGACCCTGAAGAAGTCGTGGGATTGGCCCCGAGAGTACGGGTGGAACCGTTTGTTATTCTCGCACGGTTTTCGGGGTGGCACGTGTCACGTTTGTGTGGTTTCACATTGCATGGTTGCATGGCGCCATGTTGGCGCCCAGAAAACAAGCGAATCAACTGGCCACCCTCGCGCGGTTTTCGGGATGACACGTGTCACGCCTGCGTGGTTTCGCATTGTATGGCGCCGTGCTGGCGCCGAGAGTACTGGGGAAACAATAACAACCCGCCACTGGTAATGTATACACCACGGGAAAACGGGGAAAAGTATACACCACACCACCCCGACGTCGCCCCTGACCACTGGCAATTGAAAAACAACCCGCCACTGGTAATGTATATGTCCCAGTTTGAAAAACAACCCGCCACTGGTAATGTCCCTGACCACTGGTATCGGGGATGGACAGACCCCCCTTTAGCAAAACGTGGTTTAGTGAAAACGACCTGAGGCCCAAACCTGGCAGGCGCAGGCCTGGAAAATGACGGCCACGGCGCCCTCTGGAGAAGCGCAAACGGACAATTCACGAATCGACGTGTCACTGTTAGGGGTTCTGTCCAGCCCCGATGGTAATTGAAAAAGTCGTGGGATTGAAAACCAACCCGCCACCGGTAATGTACCCTCAGGGACGCACGGAGGGAGTCGAGGCGTGCTGGTCCCTTGGGTCGTGCTCCGGCACGTACCCTCTGGGACGCACGGTGGAAGGAGTCGAGGCGTGCTGCTCCTTTGGGTCGTGCTCCGGCGCGTACCCTCTGGGACGCACGGAGGAAGGAGATGAGGGAGGATGCGTGCTGGTCCCTTGGGTCGTGCTCCGGCACGTACCCTCTGGGACGCACGGAAGAAGGAAATGAGGCGTGCTGCTCCTCTGGGTCGTGCTCCGGCACTGTACATGTTCCCGTCTGCGAGGAGGGGCCCTCTCTCGCGTGGCCGCGGCGGGCCTCGGCCACGAGCGGGGGGGCCCCCGGCCGGGGTCGGAGTAGAGCGGGGGCCCTGGAGCACACCAGTGGACACACACACACACACACACACACACGGCCGACCGCACATGCAAGCATGCCGAGCAAGCACACACACACACACAAACAAAAAACAGGGTTCCCGCACGTCCTTCGGGGGCCACATGCGAACCCTACCCCTACCCCCCACGATTTCTGAGGGGGAGGGTGGGGTTCACTTCGCTCGGGAGCTCCCGAACGAAGTGAACCCCACCCTCCCCCTCGGAACTCGTGGGGGGTATGGGTAGGGTTCGCATGTGGCCCATTAATCCTGCCATATTTTACCTGGGGGGTCGTCGTCCCCCCCCCCCATCAACTTCCCATATTTTCCCATCTCGTCCTGGGGGTCGGCGACTCAGTGTGTCTATTTGCTTGTTCCCCTCCTGGCTGAGCCGCGAGAAGAACAGAGTCTGGGACTAGGCTCGGACGAGGATAACATCGGATGCGGATCAATCGAAAATCTCTGAGCGCTGGCAACTCTGGGGGATGCCTCGAGCGCCGCAATCTTCTCTGAGAGCGTTCCGCAACGCTCTGGAACGGAGTTATCATCGTCCTGGCCCCGTCCGAATCTTGAGTCCCTTCTCAACCCCAAACAACAATATTACTATCATACCTACTGGTGTGATCTCGCACCGCATTATTTCAACCGACCGTGCCTGGGATGTCCTAGATGTGCCCTGGGATGTGCGCTGAGATGTGTCCCGGCATGTGTGCGCTGGAGTGTTGTCTCCGTCTGCTGGAACGCGTGCTGGGATGTGTGCTGTCTGTGCGCTGCTCTGTTCATGTGTGCCAGGGTGTGTTGATGTGTCGATGGATGCCGCTGCGCTCTGCTGCGGCGAGCTCGTGTCATGACGACGTGCGCGGGACCGATAAGGTTCTGACATCCTGTCGGCCGCTCGGGAGACCTGGAACCAAAGCCATTCCGCTTTCTGCCGCGGGGGGCGACTTCTGCTTCCGGCGGCTTCTCCGCTGGCGGAGCCGCCCGCGGTTTTTCCTTCCGCCGCCTCCCGCCGCCTCCCGCCCGAGAAGAGGCATCACCATCTCGAGTCCGAAGATGAGGCTTATGTTGTTCCCATCGCACTTCAGGACCACATCCCAGAAATGATTTCGAGCGCCCAGGGAAATGTCGAATCAGTGTCTACAAGAGACGAAGGCGGAGTGTCGGACCAACATCGCCTCCCAGGGCCCAACACGTGAAAACCCTCCAGTCTTGGTACTTTCGTGGCGCTCGAAAGTATTCCTGGTAGGCAAAGCTAAAAGTAGGTTGGAACATCATAAGACGAGGCCCTCTCTGGAACGCCTCGCGTGAACCGCTCAGCCTTGAGCAGGCGCGGCTCTGCGAATCATCGCGGCTCTCCGATAGCGTCGCTCGGTCGACATCGGCCGACCCAAGGGCGCTCGACCTTGAAAAGCCCGCGCTCGGGGTCGCCGCCGCGTCGCAACGGCCCCCAAACCTGCCGTCTCCTTCGTGCCCCCCAAACGCACACCACACCAAACGAGCCCGTATCGAACTGCTCAAATCCGCGTCAAACCCGCACCGATCCGCGGGGAACACAAGACAAGAGCATTTTGAGGACAGACGATGCCCCCCGGAGATGCGGGGAAGCACATAACTTGTTGGGCGCCAGGCATCACAGGTCAGCGCATTCCGAAATTGGCCGCGGCGGAAACGACAGGGCCGGTTCTTCAACGTTTCCGAAAAGTGTCTCTTGAACATGAATCCAGTTCAAAAGCGATAAAACGCAGCGACCAGCAACAACAACGGCCCTGGGATTGAACCTTTGTATCGGAACGAACAAGCCGGCGACAGAAATGAGAAAACAACGACGCCAAAACCGACGAAGAAACGGGAAAATGGAAACGGCAAGTAAACGGTCCTGTTGTGTCCCAGGCCAACTGAGGCGCATCCTACCCTTTGCCCTTTCCCTTCGCGGACGGCCTCTTCACGTGAACATTGATAAGGCAGCCATCCGGCAACGTCGTCTCGTTTAGCGCCTCAATGGCCGCTGCGGCATCCGAGGCCACCGCGAACTTCACGTACGCGATGGCGTCCTCGTGGCCGTGGTGCTCCTGCACCACTGCCTTGACACCCTCCAGCGCTCCGAAGGGCGCGAACAGCTTATCCGCCAGCGCACTGAAGGTACAGTCATCGTGCTGCCATGAGGAACGCATAAGGAGGAGCGAAAGGGCTTTTCTGGCCACGGCAGGCTTAGACCACACACATGCTCCACTACATAAACGTACCGGCCCGAATACCCGAGCCCCTCCAAAGCCCAGAAACTTCCTTATTTCAGCGTCTTGACTGTACCCTGAGGCGCGCAAGGAAGCTTGCTGACTGCTGGCTGTCTGGTGTGTCCGAGACCGCTTCCTGGGGCTTCCTCTCTGGTGCTTCTCGTGGTCCCAAGACGGCCCCTTTGGAGCAGCACGCTGCCACCAAAGAACTGCTACATCATAAAGAGCCCACTGTCCACGCAGAAATCCCAAAATATCCTCAAGACGCCCTGGGAGCCAAACGGGTACTGGGGGACTCCAAACATACGTTCTTCGTCGACAGACTCACACTGCCAACACTGTGACATAAGAGGGATGATATAAACATGAGCTGTCGGATGTCCGCGCAGATTCCCTGGCTCGATGCTGCACCCTGGAGCGCTGGGCGCGCCAGGGGTTGCGGCGAAGGTTCCGCCAGGGGGAAGGAGGGGGGCATCGCCGACCCAAGAAATCCGCACAGACCTCCGAGAAGTCGCGCTTCTGTAATGCCTGCAGTCGTTCGAGGTCTGCCGCAGAGGCGGCCCGAGAAAAGAGCAGCTTGCCAGCGTGGCTCGGCAAACGGCCCCCGAGCATCTCCTTCACACCTGCCTCGATGAGGCCCCCCGAAACGCATCCCAAGAGACCGTGGCGGGATGGACCGAAGGCCACTACATCCGCTGGGTGCACGGCGGGCTAGACTGTTGGGGGTATTGTTTCTGTTAGAGCTTCCCAGTGGGGTATCGGCCCAACCCGACGGCCACCTGGAAAGACCGGGGGAGCCGCCCCAAATACGCAGCACCCCGCAGGTGCAGATAAGAGTGAGGGGGCGGCGGGAGCGTCGGCAGTTTGCGAGGCTCTGAAGAAGCCCACTTTTCACCAGCTATACCACTAGCTCGCCGCGGGCGCCGAATTTTCGTTCAAGCAATGTGGGTGGGTCGCGGGGTGGGTCGCGGGTGGGTCGCCAGCCGGGTCGCGGGTGGGTCGCGGGTGGGTCGCGGGCCGGGTCGCGGGGGAGACGACGACAACAAACAACAAACAACACAACCAGCAAGACAAGCAGCAGCAAAAACAACAACAACAACAACAACAACAACAACAACAACAACAACAACAACAACAACAACAACAACAACGACACTAACAACAATACGAATAACAACAACAATAACAATAGCAGAAGGAACAACAACAACAACAACACTAACAACAACAACGACAACGACGACGACAACAACAACAATCATTTAAAGACTGTTCGCTCCGATCTGCTCACGTGCCAATCAATACGTATATCCCAATCCCTCGGTACCCGCCCGCTTCGTCTTCGATGGTATCCCCTTGGGGGTACATATTCCTTACCTGCCACGAGTATTTGGCGCAGCCCCTAAAACAAGGGAAGAGAGGACGGGTGGAAGGGGGAGGGAGGATAATGGAGCACGAGAGAAATCAGCAAGAGGGGGGCAAGGAGCAGAAAACATGTGGGGGAACCAAGGCTAAGCCGGCGATCTAAGCGTCTCAAACAACCGGAGGAAGACGCGAAAAGTGCGGAACATAGAAAAGTGCGAAAAGTTCGAGGAGTAGAGAAGTAGAAGAAGTGCAAAAAGTGCGAAACGTAGGAAGGTGCGAAACGTAGAAAAGTGCGAAAGGTGCGAAAAGTAGAGAAGTAGAAAAGAAGAAAAGTGAGAAAAAGTGCGTTCGAAACGTAGAACAATAGAAAAGAGGACAAGTGCGAAGAAGTGCGAAACAATACGAAAAGTGCGAATCGTAGAAAAAGACGAAAAGTACGAAACGTGCAAAAAGCGCGAAAAGTGCGAGAAGCGCGAAAAGTGCGACAATTAGGAAAAATGCGAAAAGTGTGAAAAGTGCGACAAGTGCGAAAAGGACGACGAGTGTAACATTGCGAAACAAACGCGAAACGTAGAAAAATAGAAAAGCACGATGAGTAAAAAATGCCCGAAACGTTGCGAGAAGTCTGAAAGTATGGCAGTGCGAAAAGCGCGAAACGTAGAGCAAGACACGCGCGGGGAAGGGCGAACCTCTTAACAACGCGAAGCGCGAGAAATAGGAAAAACGGAACACGCCCGAATGTTCAAACAGCTTTTGTTTAAGAAGCGCGTGGGAGCGGCAGGAGGGACAAGATGATGAGGCGGCCGTTTTCCATTCTTCTGCTTTTCCCGCTTCTAATATTGTTGTTGCTTTTCGCGCTTCTCTTCTTCCCCCGCTTTTTAATGATGGTGCGTAATTGTTGTCGTCATCATCATAATCTTCACAATCACAATCATCATCAGCTTCATCACTCATCGCGCCGTGACCAGCATCATCGCTTACCACTGTGCCATGACCATCGCCATCATCACCCTCGTCACCATAATCATCGTCATCGTCAACATCGGATTCAGCATCGCCGCCACGACACACCACACACACACACACCTACTCACCCACTCATTCGCTTACCATTCGCTCACACACACGCACGCATCTTGGGGAGGTCTCGAGCGGAAGCTTCGTCTGTGAGTACATCGCGAGGACGTCTCAAGCGGGAGCTCCTCCCTATGGCGTCCCCGCCTCATGCTTTTAATCAGCGCGGGTCATCCGATCCCTGTAGTTGTCGTCACTTCCGGGCTCCTCGGGCCTGTATCTGGAAGAAGTCTCGAGTGGGAACCTCGTTTGTGAGTGAATCGTGAGGAAGTCTCTGGCGGGAGGTCCCCGCCTCGTGCTGTTTTTTACCCGTGCGGGTCATCCGATCCTTGTAACTGTCGTCAGTGTTGGTTCCTCGGGCCTGAATGCGGGAGCTCCGTCTGTGAGTGCATCGTGACGAAGTCTCTAGCGGGAGCTCCTCCCTATGAGGCCCTCGCCTCTTTTTTTCCCACGCGCAGGTCATCCGACCCCTGCAACCGTTGTCATATCTGGGTTCCTCGGGCTTGAATCGGGAAACCCCTCCTCTTTCCGAACTCCGACCTCCTGTTGGTAGTCTGACCAACGGCTTGCTCTGGCTTCATCGGCGAGCGGCGTCTGAACGGCTTGCTCCGCGCCAAGGAAGAGACGGAAGAAAAAGAGCAGGATGAGGAGGAGGATGATGAGGAGGAGGAGGAGAACGAGGACGAGGACAAGGACGAGGACGACGAGGACGAGGACGAGGCGAGAGGAGGAGGAGAGAGGAGGAGGAGGAGGAGGAGGAGGAGGAGGAGGAGGAGGAGGAAGAGGAGGGCTAAGAGGTGGAAGCGGTGGAGAAGGAAGGAGGAGGAGGAGGAGGAGGAGGAGGAGGAGGAGGAGGAGGAGGAGGAGGGGGACGACGATGAGGAGGGGGATGAGGAGGGGGGCGAGGAGGAGGAGGAGGATGAGGAGGAGGAGGAGAAAGGGGACGAGGAGGAGGAGGAGGAGGGGGACGAGGATGAATAGAAGGGCGAGGAGGATGACAAGGACCAGGAGGACTAGGGGGAGGGCGACGAGGAGGCAGGAGGAGGAGGAGGAGGAGGAGGAGGAAGAGGCAGGAGAGGGAAGGGAGGAGGAGGGAGGGAGGGAGAGACTCTCGTGCTAACAAAGGAGATCACCATGTGGGGCCTACCGTCTTAATCATTCGCATGTTTCACATGGCCCTGATTTTCGCACTAGTTGCCGAGGGCGTCCAAAATCCATGATCCTGGAACCTCGATCTTCCAAGTGGTTTTCGGGCCATGCGTAGCTTGGGCCTCCGGCCAGAGTTCGGGATGGTTCGGGCGCCCCCGAAACCTTTCGATGAGGCGCAGCTGCTGGAAAGCATCCGCCACGGGTTGTGCCAATACTGCCCCGGGTTGTGCCAATATTGCCCCAAATTGAGCCAATAGTGCCCGGGTTGTGGCCCAGAGGCCGCTCATGCCTATACTGGGGGCGAGTTCCGTGAGATGCGCATTTCCGATTTTGATGCGTGTCCAATCTTCGTGTGTTTCGCCCAGCCACTGCGTGCGCCCCTTGTTTTCGTTTTTCCGTGGCTCGTGTTTTTCGAGTTCGCTTGTTGTTTCGTGTGTTTCTGTTGTTCGTTTCTGTCGTAGTGATTTCCGTATTTTGCTTCTCACTTCGGCGAGGACAAAAGATGAGGATAGCGACGACGACGACGACGACGACGACGACGACGACGAGGGGTATTCCGTGACATGCCCTAGGGGGTGCTCCGTGACATGCCCCAAGGGGTATTCCGTGACTTGCTCGACGGGGTGCTCCGTGATATGCCCCCGAGGGTGTGACACTCTTGCGTGACAAGGGGGGGGATCGGAGGAGGAGGACGAGGAGGAAAAGGAAAATGAGAAGGTGGAAGACGAAGGATGAGGACAACGAGGACGGCGACGACGACGACATGGGGTATTCCGTGACATGCCCGAGGGGTATTCCGTGACGTGCCCCGTGGTCTCGCATTTTGCTTTTCACTCCAAGGAAAAACGATGGAGGAGGAAGGAGAACGGAGATTCCGTGACATGTCTACCCTGGCTTTCTTTGTTCCTGGGTTTCTCGCAAGAAGTTACTGTTTCAATTTGTTGGTGGCTGCCGCGCCTCATTTTTATGATTCCCCACATGTTTCGTGGGGTTATGGTGTTCTTCCCTGCCGCGGCGCACCCGCGTCTCCTCACACCTCCCCTCCTCCCTCTTCTTCCTCTCCTCAACCGCGCTCAACACATGCACGGCAAGTACATGACACACGCGTCTACATACAGCCGCACGCATGCACACATTCGCACACAACACGCACACACACACACACCATACAACGCTAGTGCGCGCCTGGCGTGTTCACTGCATCACACATCCACGACGTGTGCGCCACATAGTGGGCACCCACATGAGACACGTCCCGATATGGCCGATATGCACGACGGTCGTCCAGGCATAGCAGG